TGCTAAGTTTACTACCATTCTAGTTATTAAAAATAAGACTTTGTCTGATTATCTCGGACACAAAACGACTCAACGGATAAAATTTTTCAAAGCTATAATTACAAAGACTATAACGGACAATTTACCCATATATTTCATTCCTAATTTCCTATTTAGAAACTCTAACGTGCCTCTAATAAATTTACCCTTTAAAGTGTGTACGAAAAAGGTACTCAAATAATGTGCATGAAATAATACTAGAATTAGGATTTTATGCGATTTTAGTGGGCTGGTGTGTTCACATAGCAGTAAATATGTATTGTGCAATGATTCGCAGGGTTATTGCATAATTGTTAGAATATTATGCATGAGAAAAACCATAATCGCAAACCCTAGCCAAAATGTATTATCCTCTCCCATTCTGGAGAAAGTTCCATGCGCATATATACAGACTCCGATCGTGACTTGAGACGACGGAAAATAAAGACAGAAAAATATTTTTCCGTTTTTTTTTTTCCGAGCAGTATACGAGAGTTGCTTACGCACGATTAAAAAAAAACCTTTTTAAAAATAAAACATGAGTATTGTTTCGAAATAAAAGTATTAAATAGATTTTGGAAAACATTATCCTATTTTTTATTCACTTAACTATTGTGTCGTCTTTTGGAAAATTTAAGGACATTTGTTTAATAATTTTATCAATTTATCAAGCATCCGAAATGGGAAAGTGGTAAATCCAACACACGAAAAACGGCGGCGTTCGATGACGATACTACGCACTGGAAAGCAGTGGAGTTTTTCCTCTTTAGTGTACTAGAGAAATGGGAGATTTCTAAGCGAAATCGTTTTACATGTAATCAAATCCAAGGGTAAAACAAACGTCTACAGGAATAGCGGAAGGCACTGCCAATGTTGACAGCCAATACGTTTTCATCCGTGTGTCGTAAAGCGACACAACAAATTAAATGAAATTGTATAATTTGCAATTGTTTATTTATGCATATACCTATTTGAAATCTGCTATGTTATTTTAATGAAAATTGTAAGAAGATAGTAATTTACAATTTTAGATAACAGTGAGAATTTATAACACTTTACTTTTTAGTACAAAAAATAAAAAAATATATATATTAAAATGCAGACCTGTAGATACCGGTATATTGTGAAAAATTGAAATAAACATTTATAATTTCCATATAATTTTACAAAATCTTAAAACAACTTTTCTTATATACTGCCAGTCGCCATTTGACGTAGCGGGTTTGCTTTGGACTCACTGACCTGAAGAAGTCAATCCTTACGCCGCGGATTCGACTCCTACTGCGTGACATGGATATGGGCCCTTAATTCCGATTGAGATCCTGTGTCGCAGTAATTGCTGGTCAGAAAAATATCCTTCACTGCTAAAAAACTTTATTCTGAAAAGGGGTGTTAATTGTTAAACAAACAAAATCATTCATGCCACCGTCTTTCAGTACTCACAGTACTTTGATTTTACATATAGGTTAGCTCAGTCTTGCAGCCACATCGGAGGATTGCTGTTTGCATTAAATGGCAAGCATCGCTTAAAGTGCCCGAGTAGTGACGAGAGCTGCACTTCACAATTATGCCAATGGATTGTTCCCAGAAACTTAAATCAAAGTCCTAAGCTTATCAGTCAACTTTCCTTTGCAAAACCTCAACTGGAATCTGAACCGGAAAAGATGACCTCGCTCGACTTTGAATCAAGACATCCTCAAGACAGATGCTTTGATATGCAATATACTTTGAATCAACTTAATTATAGAGCTCAAAAAAGTCTTTCCCAACACTGGTATGTATATGTTTCCTCTTTACATGGCAATGCCCGGATATGTTACATTAATTGTAAGGTAAAATTATTCACCTTATTCAACTTAACATTTTTATTAAACTAATATTTACATGTAATTATTAGTACATTCAAATTTCATTAGTCAAAATTTGATTGTATGGTCATTAGCCGATTAGTCAATGTTCACATAAAAAAGGGACAAATTGAAAGATTAAGTGAAATTTCACATTTGAGATTATACAGTTCTTCATATTTTAGGATTAACACACCTCTGGAATATACCAGATGATGTCCCAGATGTAGCCGAGGAAGTCACAATAAGTACTGAAGTTGATCCTCGAACACTAGAAATGGAAAAACTAGTGTTCAAACATGGAAATGGTAAGTACACATACTTATGTATATGAATATTTTTTCATAATTTCATTCTCAAATATTTCAAGGTTGTGAAGTGATATAGACACATACACCCGTACGAAACAGTCCAAGCGGCTTAGACACGGCTCAGGCACGGATTCCGTCTCCAAAAAGCCGTGCTTTAGCATTCCGTGCTCCTATGTAAAGTATGTATGGAAAGCCGTGCCTAAAAGTGGTCGAGGCACGGACACGGCACGGGATATTGGCCGAAATATTTAAATGAGATCTCACGGTTTTACAAAACCCGTGTCAGAAAGCCGTGCTAGTTTCCATATATGGACTCACGGATTCTGTAAACCCGTGTCTGAAACCCGTGTCCTTTTCCATATATGGAGACACGGTTTTTTGGAAACCCGTGTTAAAAAAGCCGTGCCGTATACCATATAAGGAGTCACGGGATCTGTGCATTTGTTTAGATCTAGGTCATGGCCTTTAGAGACTGTGGATGCCAAAATGGTGACTGAAACCAAAATAACTTCACATTGCTTTACATTATTTGCTTAGATTTAGAATTTCAAAAGTTAAAAATCTTATATGAATGTGTCAATTTACTTTCTGTTAAAGATTAACTTTATAAATTACAATCCATGCTAGTTTTTAATAAGATTTTAATGATAATGTACAATATTCAATTGTAATTTAATCTAGTAGCTAAGTTTGCACAATCTGAGAAAGAATTTACTTTAAATAAAACTTTCACTAGCACAGTGATGTCACATCAAATATATATACTATAAAGGATTAGTGAAAGTCCAACTAAAGTCATTCAAATAAACCTAAACTATTTCATCATGTTCATTGTCAACATCGCAATACAGGAAGATCATGAAAATTGAAAAATTGACTTATTTATTCTAGATTACACTTACTGCATTTAGTTCAAAAGTGAAGAAATTATCCCAGACTGACATAAATACAATTCCAACTGACATCTATTAGTTAAATATCCTTTAAATAGAGTAAAAAGACACACTGACTTAGCTCATGACCATGAATCCCTCCAATTTAATATTCAAATAAAGGAAGTTATGATTGAGCATGCTCAGTAAAAAGCCGTGAGATATAAATAAATAGTTTGAACCAAAACCCGCCTTAGTTAAAAACCGTCTCCCTGGGACACGGATTCCGTGCCTCCAGACGAGTTTCTGTGAGCGAGGATTCCTCACTTTCAGACACGGAAGCCGTGTCCGTGTCTTGGACATGCAGAACCCGTGCGGCTTTTTAAAAACCCGTGCGGATTCCGTGTCTTAGCCGTGCCCAAGCCGTGCCTATTCCACCTCGAACTTTCGTACGGGTATATCATTGAAACCTTAAGAGCACCTATTACCTATTTAATATTTATGTAGATTATATGATAAATCAAAACAACTTATATTTGTATTTTTGTCTTATGTATTCAGTACCTCCCCTCACCATAGAAAATGACTTGGTGCAATTCATTGAGTTCTCAACTCGAGGTCAAAGACTTTGTCCAGTGTGGCTTGACTTACACAGAGGCAGAATAACAAGTTCCATCTTTGGACAAGTTCTTAGGGCTGGAAGTAGTCCAAATAGTTTGATAAATAATACTATTGAAGGATCAAGTCTCCACAAGTGAGTAATTCATTGTAGTTCTGAAAACCAATTTGACACTAATTTCTTAGAAAATGAACTGCTTACATTGTTGTTATAAGTACAAAATAGCATTTTATTATTACCGTAAATCTGAAAATTTTTACGTTGATTTTATTTCGCGAATCTGGGTCAAAATGCTGTTGATGACCACTACTTTTTGAACATTTCCTTATTGTTGAATTATTTTTAAGAAAAATATATTTGCAAATGATATGAACTTGCAAATTTGCTAAAAATTTATCTACAGCAAAAATTGCCAGATTTACCGAATGTGAATTAATGTTGTGAAAAACTCTTAAAAGTAATTGCGATTGAGTAAGTAATCAATACTTTGAATAAATTTTTTTCCCTTCTTTTTTCCCACACATTTCTATGCAAATACATGCACCGGTACCTATTCTTACAGATACAGTTCATTGCCCCCTGCTGTGAAGTGGGGCCAGGATCATGAAAATGAAGCAAAACAGCAATACATTGCACTAAAATCAGTATTTGGAGATGTAGTGGTGGAGGAAACTGGCCTGACCTTGTGTGCTTCTCATTCTTTTCTTGGGGCATCAAGTGATGGGAAAGTCTGTGATGCAGGGGAAGAAGGTGTGCTTGAAATTAAATGTCCATTTTCCCTAAAAGGAAAGCCAGTCAACAAGATGGAAATTCAGGAAATTGTCAATCTCTCAGATCCTGCATTTTGCCTTGTTCAGGGAAACGATGGACCAAAGCTGTCGAGACATGACCATGACTATTATGCTCAAGTGCAAGGTGAGATGGAGTTTGATAAGAGTTAAATAGATTTTATTTTTCTTAACATTAATTGACTGTTAAGGGCAAATATCTTAAATATGGCATAAAATAACAACAATTGACTGGTATAATTCAAAAGATAATTCTACAGTATCATTCTATTACATGCATTTCATGTGTATAACTCATGCTCATAGAAATAACAGGTATAATGCTGCTATGCAACAAACAATTCAATAGTGACACTATATACCATCATTTTATGTAAAAAGTATATGTTCATAAATGTATGAATAAATATCAATCATTAACAAGATGCTCACCTGAGCACTGTGGCTGAGAAAAAGTCAGAAATAAGTTTAGTTTAGTGTTGAAAAGTTTGAATCCATAAGTGGTCCCAACCTATCCTTCAAAGGGGGGGGAGTATGATTGGATGCTTGCATATTTTTATGACTAACTGTGGCTTTTTACATTTTAAGTTTGAACTTATATTGTGTTGCTCCCACCCTACATTGCCCCTCATGACTTGAACAAATCTAAATCTACACTACCTGAGGAAACTTCCATATAAATGTGACCATTTATGGTTTTGCTGTTTTTGAGAAGAATTTCCCATTTCTATGGAAAACTGTTTCTTATTATCTCCCCTTGAATGAAGGCATGGTTCATAAATTGAACAAACTTGAATCTTCTTTACCCAAGGATTTTTTGTGACAAGTATGGTTAAAATCAGTCCAGTGTTTCTTGAGAAGTCAAAATGGAAAAAAAAATTACAGACAGATGGATGGACTGACGGACTGCTGACAAAATTTGATCAGAAAAGCTCCGGTGAGAAAAAAATCAAGTTCATTGATTAACACAAATATATTCCATGTAGATTTTGGTTAGTTAAATGTCTGTCACTCATATTTTGGTTTAAGAGTCTAGCTGTAAAAACTTGTTCAAATTGCTACTCCTCAAATATTATTATGAGCATATTGGTAAATTACAGTTATAATAATATATTAACAAAACAATCATTTAAAAAATGTTAAATATATTTTGACCATTTTTCAAGGTCATGTGAACAAGCTGAATAATTTATATCCCAAAAAGGTAGTATAAGGATACCTTTCTATGAATTTTCAATATCATATTCCGATCTTCTTATTCTCATATTCTCATATAAGGCCATTCACACTTTTTAGCTCACCTGAGCCGAAGGCTCAAGTGAGCTTTTCTGATCACATTTTGTCCGTCGTCCGTCCGTCCGTCCGTCTGTCTGTCTGTCTGTCCGTCCGTCTGTCTGTCCGTCTGTAAACTTTTCACATTTTCGACTTCTTCTCAAGAACCACTGGGCCAATTTTGACCAAACTTGGTACAAAGCATCCTTGGGTAAAGGGGAATTTAAGTTGTTAAAATGAAGGGAAATATCCCCTCGCAAGGGGAGATAATCAAGAAAAGACAAAAATAGGGTTGGGTCATTAAAAAATCTTCTTCTCAAGAACCACTGGGCCAGTAAAGCTGAAACTTATGTGGAAGCATCCTGGGGTAGTGTAGATTCTGAATTGTTCAAATCATGACCCCCGGGGATTGGGCGGGGCCACAAAGGGGAATCCAAGTTTTATATAGAAATATATAGGAAAAATCTTTGAAAATCTTCTTCTCAAGAACCACTGGACCAGAAAAGCTGAAACTTATGTGAAAGCATCTTGGTATAATGTAGATTCTAAATTGTTCACATCATGGCCCCCGGGAGAAGGGCGGGGCCACAATGGGGAATCAAAATTTTATATAGAAATATATAGGAAAAATCTTTGAAAATCTTCTTCTCAAGAACCACTGGGCCAGTAAAGCTGAAACTTATGTGGAAGCATCCTGGGGTAGTGTAGATTCTAAATTGTTCAAATAATGACCCCCGGGGGAAGGGCGGGGCCACAATGGGGAATCAAAGTTTTATATAGAAATATATAGGAAAAATCTTTGAAAATCTTCTTCTCAAGAACCACTGGACCAGAAAAGCTGAAACTTATGTGGAAGCATCTTGGTATAATGTAGATTCTAAATTGTTCACATCATGGCCCCCGGGAGAAGGGCGGGGCCACAATTGGGAATCAAAGTTTTATATAGAAATATATAGGAAAAATCTTTGAAAATCTTCTTCTCAAGAACCACTGGGCCAGTAAAGCTGAAACTTATGTGGAAGCATCCTGGGGTAGTGTAGATTCTAAATTGTTCAAATAATGACCCCCGGGGGAAGGGCGGGGCCACAATGGGGAATCAAAGTTTTATATAGAAATATATAGGAAAAATCTTTGAAAATCTTCTTCTCAAGAACCACTGGACCAGAAAAGCTGAAACTTATGTGGAAGCATCTTGGTATAATGTAGATTCTAAATTGTTCACATCATGGCCCCCGGGAGAAGGGCGGGGCCACAATGGGGAATCAAAGTTTTATATAGAAATATATAGGAAAAATCTTTGAAAATCTTCTTCTCAAGAACCACTGGGCCAGAAAAGCTGAAACTTATGTGGAAGCACCCTGGGGTAGTGTAGATTCTAAATTGTTCAAATCATGACCCCCGGGGGAAGGGCGGGGCCATTACAGGGAATCAAAGTTTTATATAGAAATATATAGGAAAAATCTTTGAAAATCTTCTTCTCAAGAACCACTGGGCCAGTAAAGCTGAAACTTATGTGGAAGCATCCTGGTATAATGTAGATTCTAAATTGTTCAAATAATGACCCCCGGGGGAAGGGCGGGGCCACAATGGGGAATCAAAGTTTTATATAGAAATATATAGGAAAAATCTTTGAAAATCTTCTTCTCAAGAACCACTGGGCCAGAAAAAGTGAAGCTTATGTGGAAGCATTCTGGGGTAGTGTAAATTCTAAATTATAGGAATCATGACCCCCGGGGGAAGGGCGGGGCCATTACAGGGAATCAAAGTTTTACATAGAAATATATAGGAAAAATCTTTGAAAATCTTCTTCTCAAGAACCACTGGGCCAGAAAAGCTGAAACTTATGTGGAAGCATCCTGGTATAATGTAGATTCTAAATTGTTCAAATAATGACCCCCGGGGGAAGGGCGGGGCCACAATGGGGAATCAAAGTTTTATATAGAAATATACAGGAAAAATCTTTCAAAATCTTCTTCTCAAGAACCACTGGGCCAGAAAAAGTGAAGCTTATGTGGAAGCATTCTGGGGTAGTGTAAATTCTAAATTATAGGAATCATGACCCCCGGGGGAAGGGTGGGGCCATTATAGGGAATCAAAGTTTTACATAGAAATATATAGGAAAAATCTTTGAAAATCTTCTTCTCAGGAACCACTGGGCCAAAAAAGCTGAAAGGATCATGGGGTAGTGTAGATTTCAAAATGTCTAAATTATGATCAGTGGGGTAGGGTGGGGATGCATTATGTATAACAAGGGGGAAATCTGGTAAAGAACAGAATGGTCAAAGCTTCTCAGGTGAGCGATGTGGCCCATGGGCCTCTTGTTTCATGTTTATAGCGTCTTTGTACCTTGGTTTTTGACACCCGATATCAGAAAAGCAGACCAAAATTAGACATCTAAAATTGATTATTCTGGTTGAACTCTTTGAATTCTGTCATATTTCTCAAAAAAAATTATCTACATAATCATTATGTAATATTAGGTATACATGTACATGTATTTAAGCATTTAAGATAAATTAATTTCACTAAAGATGAAGAAAAGATCTTTCTAGGACAAAAATAGATGAATGAAATCAAATCCTTTGAATGATATCATTTTTATGATTATAAAGTCTGTATTTCATTTTTTGCTTTGTGTGTGTGTTTTTTTTTTATTTGCAAATAGGTTGCTAGATTTTTAAAGAAGACTAGACAAAGAAAGAAATTTGAATGGCCTAATACAGTTCTAACAGCAGTAAATGTATCTGAGAATAGCTGATTTACAAAATTGTTTGACAGTCATTCATGCACATAAAATGTACATCACTCAAAATGATCTCAAGATTTACTTAGGAACAATCTGCACATCAAAATTTGACAGCCAGCATGCAACCTTAAACAACTTAGTGGCCAGGGGTGCAAGAGAAAGGGGCAGAACTCTGTCAAAAATATGAAAAATTTTTACACGCCCAATACTTCTCTCCACATGGATGCGAAGCTCTGCAATTTCTTGGGTCTCAAATACCTGATCAGTTGAGAACTGTGCTGATGATCCCATGAAAGGTGGAATATTCAAGTGACACTTTCTCTCCAGTAATGCTTCTCTGATTGTAAACCCCTTACAACTCTTGATAGTTATCTGTTTATCTGGAACACGGCCCCATCCTTCAGATACAAATGAGATCACGCCTGAAGGAGTGATACCTATGAGGAACTTGAAGGTTGTATGATGTTTGTAATTAGAAAAGGTTGCATTTTGGTTAACTAAACTACTGGATCTCTGGACAAAAATTTCAGTGCAATCTAATATAACTCTGACAGAAGGATACTTTCTCTTAAAGATTGTTGGCATAGTTAAATCTACAATATCTCGAGATGGGAAATGATTCAATATTTTGAGTTCTGCATGTAACAGACAAATCCAAGTTGTAAAATATTTAGAATAAGTGCCCACTGAAACTCCAACTCTATTTGCTATATCTTGGGTAAACAGCCCAAGCCTCAGTCTTGCTAATACAGCAAACAGTTGGTCTATTAGTTTTAAGGAGCCAGTACTCGCTCTTGTCCTCTCTTGGTTTCCCGCTGTCTTGGAAGGACCAGTCCAGTAGACCATCCTCTCTGCTTTAGGCTTCAGAAAACTGTAAAGTAATTTTTATATTAAGCAACTAATTAATATCTTGTCCACATTCAACTTATGTTGTCAATTTCAACAATAATTCTAATTTTAAAACTCTCATACATGAAAGAAAGACATTTTATGCTATGTATAACCTCAATGAATAAAAATCTAATATAATTTAAAGATAATAATATATAAAAGCATACTTGAACAGCCAAAGAAAAACAGCATAGGTTGGTAGTCCAGTGTAGAATTTTGTTTTTGCATCGTTGTCTTTGATTTTTTCTGTATTCCATCGTGCATTCGTCAAATCTTTAGAGCATTTATTCAATTCCTGAGCGAGTTGTTCACACTCTAAGTGTACAGGATCTGGATCCGTTTGAACACCTAGAAAATAAAACACTGTCAATACACTACCAGTGTAGGTATGCTGTACACTTACATGCTAAAAGCATAGATATTTATTTGACTAGAATATTTGACATAATTGATGTTACAGTATTATATCACTTAATTTAGGAAGTCTTTTTATAAATGTTTGTGAATTAGTGGCATTTAGTGCATTAGTTAAATCATCAATAATACATGTATTATATACATGTTATTCTTACCTGTATTATTTTTACACTTGCAAATGTTTTTCTTTAAATAACACTTTATAAGCAAGGCATATTTAACTATCAAAAAAAGGTATGTCGGGCATGTGTCTTTAAATTCATTGTTCACTTAAATTAACGATTGACATAATTTCACTAGCCCTTTTCTCCTTTCACCCTTACAAGTGGGGTTTGTTCAAATAACTAACCCGTGAGTATCTGCACATGTACATCTCGATAAAAGTTTTAAACTGAAACTTTATTATTTAAATAAATGCATCTTTCATATATTATATATATATATATATATATATATATATATATATATATATATATATATATATATATATATATATATATATATATATATAATAATTTAATGATTTACAGTAAAATTGACATATTAAAATGTGGTAAATATTGCAAAATGAATATTAAAAAAAATGTTAAAATAAAAAGAGAGGGAAGGAGACTTAAAATTAACTTATGCATTAAGCACAGATTTTAGAGCTATCTCACCTTGATCAGAAAATGACTTGATGTCAGTGTCATCCAAGTTTATGTCATTGCTTATGTTGTCATTGCTTTTGTTGTCTCCTTCTGCTGTTGGTGGCAAACAGTAATCATTGACCATCAAGGAGAAGGCCTGGTGCTTTTGTAGGATTTTCTTGCTTGTATTTTCTGCTTCAGCCATTTCCTACATCAATATTAACATTTTTGTTAATATATTCATGTACTACATGTAATGTTTGATATTTGAAATTACATGATTTACAAAATATGAATATCTTTTAAAATTTTCAATAAAAAAATTGGTTTAAATAATCTTGAAGAATAATAAGAAATTTTTTTGTGTTAATATTTAGCATTAAATATGTCAAAAATTCATTAAAATCCTAGCTTACATGTATATTAAAAAGTGCTTTTCTTGTGTCTTACCATGGAATACCATTTGACTATAAACAGCTGCTCTTGTACATGTAGTAAGGTGGGAGTTCAATCAAATAAAAAAAGGATGATGAACAACTGAAGAAAAAATGCTTAAAAATAATCAGTAAATAAAAATATGGAAAAAAAATCACATGTGAACACACCCACCCTCCCTCACACACACTCACCCACACCACACACTCCCTCACATGTATAAGAACTGAACAAAAGAAAAATATACTAAAAAGTAAAAACTCAACTTAATTATAAAATTTAATGCCAAGAAATAAAATTTACATAAAAATAAGTAACAACAAAAATCATATTCAAAACATATTGAGCAATTCTCCATATATTCAGGATATATATACTGGGCTACCCGGGGTTCCCCACTAGAATATGCTGATTTTATATCTTTCTAATTTTTAAATTTACCTGTATAATATTCCTGCGATCTAATCGTTGATTCCGCGCTTTTTCTCTTTCATTTGGGATCTTTTCCTTGTACGAAAAAATTGTCGGCCTGAAATTTATGTCCCCCGGATCGTCGCTGTGCCATCCTCCCTGGAAATGGGCGGAGCACACATAACTCGCTTCAGTTGGTGTCCATTTATCTCTTTGAATGGCTTTAACCCAAGCCTTTCGCTTTCGTTTGTCCTTTGGAAATCTGAAAAAGCTGACCCCTTTCTCCTTACTCCCCGCGTCGGCTTTATTGTGGCATTTATATACAACACAGGACCGAACCATTGTCACTTGTGCGTTCTGTTGTCAAAGACGCTTTCCTCGCGGAAGTAGTTATACGCATGCGCAAGTTTCAGGACCGGGGTTAATGCGGAAAGGTTTATTCTTGTGTGGTATATGCATTAGATGCAGATCGTATATGCATATACTTGTGATGTATATTCTAAAATCTTGTGACGCCATGTCTTGTGATGCATGTGCAATATCTTGTTTTGTATATTGAAAGTTTTGTGATATATGTTCTATAATTCTGTGATGTATATCCAGTATCTTGGTATGTATTAAAAATCTAGTCATGTACGATGTCTTGTATGTCACAAGATTTTAATTATGAAATCACAAGATGTTGAATAATCATCCATCAAGATTTTGAACATACATCACAAGATTTTGAATTAATATCTCAAGATTTCCAGTTGAATCATTTTTATTAAGATGTGAAAAAAGTAAATTACCCTCTTGAAAAATCTGTATATATTTGTGTACCGGGATATGATGAAACTGAACGAATTTACTTAATGTAAACTAAGCGTTTATTTATTTATTTTAATGATCTTAAAAATGAAAATTCTCAATTTAGGGCAGAGAAACGATTACATCAGAGAAATATTTATTATCTTCGAACAAATAGTGCTTATATAATTAAGTAAAAGTTCCTTCGATTGGTGTTGGAATTTTAATTCAGCTAATGTTTAAAGAACGCTATCAAATGGTTATCAAACAGTGAGAAAACTCCAAAGAGTGTGCTCCATTTAAAGAAGTCTCGTTCAAATCAAATTCTCGATTTAATAGGACTCTTTAAGGAGAATCAAAATTTTTCTATTTTTATGAGTATTTCAATAAGTATGCAGCTGACTTTTGTGGAACCGTTTAATGTCAAAGTTCAGAACGTGGAAGCATCGGAAAGCCGACGGAAGATACAATTAGGGTACATGCACACATGCCCAGAGGCAACCTTCACATGAAAATCCAGTTTTTCAACTTTCAAACTTTCAACTGCAGCAATATCGGGAAGTATACTAGTCAGTAAAATTTATAAACAAATGAAATTTGGAGATAACGAATAGAAATCAAGCTGAAAGCCCCATTGATACAATACCAAATGGGTTTATTTCAAAAACTAACCTTTTTAAATATCAATAGTTGGATCAGAGGCCACTTGGAGGAGTAAGCATTCCCTACCTACTGATCGTTTTCTCCTTCTCATGACTAGGCAAACAAAAGCAATTAAAAATAAAAAAAAATAAAACATGCAATTCAGAGTGGTGACAACTAGTTTGAAAGAGTTCAGGGACTGAATTCAGGGACACGTAATAAGAATTTTGAAAGGTGATAAATTTGATTGTCAGTAGCTTCATGTCAATATTGATTGATTCTACAATTATTTGTTACATTCACAGATATCTGTAGATGATTTTACACAAATAAATAATTAAAAACAATGTCTGTAAGGTTTCATTTAAAATAAGTAATCTAAGTTGTCCGATATAAACATTGACATTATATTGTATATGTGCACAAAACGATTTACGCGAGTGATAAAATGTTTAACTTTACACCAGGCTTTATTTTTCAGTTAAACAATCAGCATTTTATCAATACACATAATTAACTTTTTTTCAAAAACAGTTTTATATTAATGAAGAGTTCTGATCTGCGTGACCACTAATATTGAAAAAAAATCGCTCTTTGCTTTCGGTTAGTGTTCTTTGAAATCGTTTAGTTCGCTTTAAATAATCATAGTCAAAGATCAAAACTGAACTACGTATTCCTTTTTCACTTGTACCCAACCATAGCAAATGTTCTTCATCTACCGACAGAGAAATAATGGTGGATAAGGATTTTTCCGGCCAAAGTATAATCCTTAAAAACTTGTCACCAAAATCCAACATATGAATAGCATTATCAGCTTTGTTAGCCACCAAAATATTGTCTTCAGGATCTAAGCACGCGCAGTATGCTGTAAATGATTTATATTGACAGCCCTGATATCAAAACAGAAAGTCTAAATCCTGTTTATAGACACGAAGTGATCCCTTGCAAATTATGACTAACTGAGTTGTTTTGTTTTTAAGTAAACATAACTTTGCGTCATCTGGACATACACTTTCATCTTTCTTTTGCTCTGAAATCATTTCCGTTTGCCCATTTTCATCCACCCGCATAATACTTAATTTACATCTTTCAGAAGAGATAATTGTCCCACATGCCTTATATCTATTTTCAAGTAACATAGATATACCACTTTTAGCATTTTCCTCTACTGCCAGTATTCTAGTGCGAAAACGCGCCTCGTAGAGCTTCATGCATGCTTCATTGTTTTAGAATGTTCAAGTGTTTTGCTGTCGTTTGTTACGAGAAGAACCCGATGGCCAGACGAAAGTTTACAACAGAAGCTCACATTTAGATAATCTCTGCCAACTGATCTTGTACCATTGAAAACGGTGAGTCTTTCACCTAAATGCAAAAACGTTATTTTCTCCGAAAAAACAATTCCTCTAAAGTGTTGCATCGTATCAATGGTAAATTAAAAATGTCGATATATCGTTTGCTTTTCCTTGTCTTTTCTTGTTCGAACACAAGCAAGCATCTTTTCAACATTTTTGTCATAAAAAGGTGACTTTTTCTAGATTTGCCTATCTTCATCAGATGCAAGAGTACGATCAGGTTCCATATTTAAATTCTCAAATAGATCTTGTATGACTTTTTTACAGTCTTTTAATGTAGAGTTCATAGGGTCTTTATTTTTCATATCCCCTCGAAGCCTCTCTAGTTCACTATAACATTTCAACAGTTTTATTCTGTCACTTTCCGTTTCTGTTTTAAATTCTAGATTACTTGATATGTTTTTAAGTATTTTTTCACGTTCCTGAAAGTTTTCCTCCCGTTTCAAAACAGCATCAGATACAATGCTTTTGTAGTCATTACCAACTTCTCGTACTTCTTCAATAATGGCTTCTTCTCTTGTAATAATTTGATCAAGGACTTTGGTTTTCTATTCTTCTAAAATTTTACGTTTACTCACCAGGCTACATTTTATTTCTTAAAGTAGTGAATCTTCATCACACATGGCTTCCATAAGTCCCCATATGTTTCTCGACTTAATCAGCTGTATCATATAGGAATGAGAGCACCAAATCCCCGGATGAACACATGGCTTTGTTTGTGACATTGAACAGAATACTGAATGGGTGGGCGTTACGCCATTGGCTGAAATCAGGTATTTAATTGTTTTCATTTTAAAGTAAAATTAATGACCTTTGAAATAAATGATGGGATGAGGAAATATTACAGATACTATAGAATTACCAGGGAAGATTTTAGGAGTGGGGGTTGATTTTTTATGTAGCGTGTTATTTACTGCGGATCTCTGTAAGTTGAAAACAACTGCAATTTTGACCTATAAACGCCATGGGACCATATATTTTTTTCAGTATTTTTTGTTAGAGCTTAGAACGAAGTTTGAAATGATGCTTAAGATTTTTCTGAAATTGTCATAGTAAAGTACTGAGAGGCCAAAGGTTTGTATGGAGTTCTATGGGAAAATAAGGCCATCCTTAAAAAAATATTTGTTTGGAATTGCCGCCTGAAGGGTTTCAGACACAGGAGGGAGAGAGGGAAATTATTTTTTTTAATTGAAAACCTAATTTTACATAGATCTGACACTTTATTTCAGTGTTTTGTATGGTGCATGTGATACATGTAATGGGCAAAGAAAATTGATTAAATAAAAAAAAAATCTTCCTACTTTTGGTCAATAAAATTTTTTCAGGAGGGGGCATTTCAATGAGGCGGGAGGCAATTCCAAACAAACTATAATTTTATTTTGGCCTAATTAGTGGTCTTTTCCCTATAGAGACCCCAACTTTTACATTGTAAAGAGAACTGAAAGTCATGAACGTTATTTTTAGCTATTTATTTGAATATTGAAGACATTTCGAGAGAAAATTTAGGAAATATTTGATTTAGTTTTCTGCGGTAATGGGGTCAGTGGTGATTTGGGGCCATTGAAGAGAGGAGGGGGGGGGGTAAGAGAAGATAAAAATTGGTAAAGCCCTGTACAGTAGACATGGCCCAAAGGAGGAAGGTAAGTTAAGAAAATATATCAGATTGTTCTTAATATGAATGATTGTATGTATGCATAGATTTATGTATGTATTTTGCGTGTACATGTAACTGTGTATTTATTTCTTGGCTGTAGGGTGATCAATATGTAGTTTTGTTGTCTCTATGTTGTAGCTACACAAAGGTCTATTTTTTCCCTTTTCTCGCTCTTTGTAGTTTCTTCAGAATGACTCGCTGCGACTCACTTTCTAATGGTTTCTAGTTTTTGTACTTAGAGCTACTTCCCTTAGACCTACTAACCAGACATGTAGAATTTCAACATGATGATATCTTAACTATTGTGACCTTTGGCTTCTGATTTTTTTTCATTAATTATTGGAATGACCTTGAACTGCATGTATCACATTTGACCTTTATTATATTTACATGTAATATTATGTAATATTGAAAAAACATGTATTCCATCCTTGGCGGATCCATTTTTTTTGTACACTTTGCTATGTAGAAGATATGTAATTGAGGAAATTTTTAGAAAACTTGAAAAATATTGTTGTTTCTTTCATGATTTATGCTTAATTTGACAAATTTTATTGATTAATTTTCATTTAAGCACTGTAGAGGATTTTCACCTTTCAGCTTCCTTGGCCCAGGGAGTGCTCGGTCTCTTATCAGCGGGGGCATTTTCTCTATATAAGAAGAAGATGGAGACTCGCTACCACCCGATGTATTTTGTCGGACAGTTTTCTGTACATTGCATATATATTTTTCATTTATTAAATTTCCAGCCTCTTATTGTGAAGCACAATTTGGGGTTTGAAGTCAGTTTTTGCTTTTCTTTATTTTTAAAAAAAAATATTTAAATTCTCCTTTTCTAAGCATGAAATTCAATAATGTAGCTTATGATTGTAATGTATAAGACTACAGATACTGAACTTTGATTT